GATCTCTGTATTGTAGGGCGTTATGGCGCTGACCACACCCCTGCTGCAAATAGAAGCGTGTGCTCAGTAGTGCAGAATCCTAAGCCTTGCTCTATCTGCTGCGATTCAATCACTACAGCGCCGTATGAGCAGCCCATCATTGAAAACGTTCCCTTAAAATTATGGAGGAGCGCGCCTGTCGAAGCCAGGCCAGCTCGGCGAAGCCGAGCTAAAGAGAAGGAGGAGAGCTCGGCGTCAGCCGAGCGATCCGACTGGTACATACATAAATGTGTAAATATAGACAGAGAGTACAGTCGCTCAATACAGCGCAATAAGGGTTGATCAGTGAAAGCACACAGCACATTACCTTAACCACTACCGATCAGCGCTTATCTTTTCTATTACTATGCAATCCATATGCAATCCAATCCAGTAGCAGAAAGATTGCGTGTGCTAATATTTAAGCCACTTACGTTCTACGTTTTCTTGTACCGTATTATTCGTTCCTTCCATCAGTGATCAAAAGTTTGAAATTAAAAGGGTAATATCACATTCAGATCCACTACCTGAAATGGTTCGCATCTCTGCTAACGGTGGGTTTTTCCTTTCTTCAACCTATCGCTTTTCTAAAACAGCGGTCTGCTCATGCCAGTCGTACACCCACCATCCCCCCTCCCAGTGCCTCAATCCCTTCCCTACCCTTATCCATCTACGCGCTAACGTCCCGCTGCCCCGCGAGCAGCTCGTGCAATGGCTCGGAATACAACGAATGGTTGTTTTATATAGTACAGTGAGGACTGGTTCACAACACTGCAGGCGGTCGACCCTCCTTTTTCAAATCATCGCTTTCACTAAGAATGACCCCCTGTCCACAGTGGCGGTGTGCTCTTGCTGAAGCTTACTCTACAGTCGCCGCTCCCCTCCCTCATACTCCCTGTTAACCCCACCTCTTACCCCACCCCTCCTCACCCCTCGCCGTACCCCTCCCCCCCTGTCCACTGCACCCACTCACGTCTAGCTGCCACGCGAGCAGCCCATGCAATATCTCGGGGTGCACTAATCGTAAGTGGTTCTGTTATAGAGTGGAGTTATCATAATCAAAATACCTGAATGTGTGTAACTGCAAATTCATCAAAAAACACATAAGACACCGAAAGTTTTTTAAGCTTTTTTTGAAAATAATTTTTGGAGTTTCACATTGTTACTACACATTCAGATAAGAAATGAGAGTCCGGGACAGCACAATAACCGACAAGACAGTGAATTGATACAACTGCAGCGATAGGTTTCTAGATTCTATGGCGTTCGTTTTCCCCTTTACCTGTCGAATCCCCTGAAGTTTTTTTTGCGGATGGATAACCAAACATACATACATACACATGTACATACAGATAGACCGACAAATCGACACACAAAGTTAGCGCTTCATTGAATTACTGATAAGGCGAAGAAAGGACGTGGTCGAGCAAGTTTCGCTTGCTGGCCAGGTTCTTTTTCTTTATTACCTCACTCTTATTTTGAAATGAGAATAGTCAGTAGCGGAACAATCACCCCATTAGGTTGGCGTTAAAAATGGAAGCTGGGCGTCGAGTGGCCAATGGGCGGAGCCGTTGTTGTATGGCCGATTCAGCAGCAGGAGTTCTAAGGAGGGTGTCTGAGGTGACATCTAAAACAGCTGAAGACCTGCAGCAGGATGCTCGGGATGACCAGTGCAATTAGACTTCTCCTGCTAGGCGACACAATGACTGCTAGCACCCGCAACTATCAGCCCCAGAAACTAGCCCGCGCATTAAGCGGCAAGCTCACCAAAAGGCCGTCCGTCCATCCTCTCCATGACAATGCAGGTCTCAAAGACCGCGCAGTATAAGTTGTAAAACCAGGAAAATTAGCACCCTTCATCCACGGCTTTCCTAGCATTTTGCTTGTTCTGATTACTAATTACTGAATCACCTCTTTCACTTTCCCAGCAGGCCTTTGTTGACCTCAAAACTACTGTGTCCAAATTTTCTTGTCCGCAGCCCACATCCTACCAACCAGTGAAGGATGTTCAGTCGTAGTGTCCCGGGTGAAATGAATGTGTTCTTTAGATGGTGATTACAAGCCCGTTTATTATATCAGCTGCGGACTCTCTGGAATAAGTCGTGGTAGTCTCGTGCGAAGAGAATCTTCACACTCAGTACGAATTTGGTGCGAGGCTGCTTCGAATTTGGCGCCGTAGCTCTGCGGTCAGGCGGCGTTGAGACTTCGCGATGACGCGCGTCGACGCGTTATAACTGCAATGCACTCCAGAATCAGAGTGAAGGGGAACGCTTTCTTGGTCACACAGTCTGGTCCTTCCTATTCTTGTATACTCTCCCAAAACACGCAGCGGTCGGCGCCGATCGATACCCGTCTGTGTCTGCGCTTTCATCTGCAGCACAGGAGCGTGGTAACAATTGCAGCTCCTCGACGCGCGTCATAGCTGAGTCTGAAGCTGGTCCGCCTTGTCTGCCAGCAATCGAAGTTACACCCGAATATCGCAATGTGAGCGCGATTGTGCTCCACCTCCAAAATCAATGCGTTCAGAGAGGTTAGATATGGAATTCGTATTCAGTGTTGAGAAACACATGAATCGGTCGCTGTAGATCTTAGTTGAATGGTCCTTTGACCTAATAATCCCTTCCTAGTAAGATAAGGGAATCGCTGATTCACCCATTCCTTGGGTTGATGTAAACAAAGCGCCGTTTGACTTTGTGGGGCATTTTGCTGGCTCCTCGTCGAGATCACTTCTGATGCCTTCTGTGGAGACCTGTACATTCCAGTGAATCTATGCAATTGCATGAGTTTCGCTTACTTTTGACTAGAGTCTACAGCTCCTACCAGAGTTAAACATTCAATTTAACATGAACTAGCGAAAGTGCAAAACTCCCTCCCTCCACCCCAAGCCGAACAGTGCCAGTTAAGTAATGACGGAGCATATCAGATGGAGGCAATTAAGAGTTCCAGGCTCTGGAGCAAGTGAATGATTGTATATGGTTCTCATCTTCACAATACTCGGTCCTTATCTAAGGAATTT